GAGGCTACAGTGAGCTATGATTGTGCCACTGCACTTTAGTCTGAGTGATAGAGTGATACCTTGTCTCTAAAAATAATAATAATTCTTGGTCATGGTAAAAAAAAGAAAAATTGAATGCAGAACTTACAAACTAAAACCAGTAATACTCTTGCACCTCTTCCCAGTTTCACTAGTCTCACTCCCAGAGGGTATAAGTATTAGGAATCTGGATTTTTTTTCTTTGTTGGGACAGGGTCTTGCTCTGTTGCCCAGGCTAGAGTGCATTGGGGTCATCAAAGCTCACAGCAGCCTCAAACTCCTGGGCTCAGGTGATCCTCCTGCCTCGGCCTCCTGAGTAGCTAGGACTATAGGCTTGCACCACCACGCCCAACTGATTTTTCTGTTTTTTGTAGAGACTGGGTCTTGCTATGTTGCTTAGGTTGGTCTCGGACTCCTGGCCTCAAGTGATCCTCCCACCTCTGCCTCCCAAGGAATCTTGCTTTTTTAAAGTATGGTGTTAGTGGAAATTTGAAGAAAAAAATGCAATTATTTGGAAAATATTCATAAGCAAACATTTCAGTGCTATTTTTACTGTTTCTTAGATTTCTGCACCCAATGAATTTGATGTCATGTTTAAACTGGAAGTCCCCAGAATTGAACTAGAAGAATATCGTAACAGTGGTGCCTATTACTTTGTGAAGTTCAAAAGAAATCCAAAAGGAAATCCTCTGAGTCAATTTTTAGAAGGGGAGATATTATCAGCTTCTAAGATGCTGTCGAAGTTTAGGAAAATCATTAAGGAGGAAATTAAAAATATTGAAGGTAAAATTTTTGTCTTTTGGTTTTTAAAGTTCTAATCATACCTACTAATTGGCAATGTGTGCTTCTCTCCTGATCTTTCTTGATCTCGCTGCAGCAGACTACTGACTACTACCTCCTTCCAGAGACAACTCTTTGCTCTCGGTTTTCGTCTGCTGCGTCTTCTTGGTATTCTCCTGCAACGTCAATTGGCTCTATTTCAGTCTTCAATGAATATTCACTGATCTGCCACCTGTGCCACTGGACATACCCCGAATGTGCTTGGATAAAATCAGTGGGATCCCCTCTTTAAGCTCATAACCTATTATGGTAGGGAGACAGTATAAATAACATGTAACACAAATTGCAGTGAGTGCTCTGAAGGGAGGAGTGATAGCAATTAGGGTGGCATGGGTCAGTGGAACCAGGCCCTGAGGCAGAAAAGAGCTTGGCCAGCTCAGGGAACAAAAACCAGGCCCATGTGGACAAGAGAAAGAGGGATATGAAATGAAGTTGAAAAGGCATCCGGGGACTAGATTCTGTAAGGACTTGTGGATCCTGGAAAGGAATTCAGATTTTATTCTGTGTTCATTGAAAAGCCAGGTTTTAGTCAGGAAGTAACGATTGGCTTTGTATTTTTAAAAGTTTACTCTGTCTTCTATGGAGATATTATAAGAAGGCAAATAGGGAGATTAGAAAGGAAAATATTGTAATAGTTCAGGTGAAAGACAACTGTAACTCTTTATGCATTTAAGAACAGTTCAGTAGCGATGGTTCATGGAGGAGAAGGAATAATTGAAGAGCAAGGTGCTTGGGAAGGTGAGAGGGAAAAGATACAGAGAACACGTGGAAAGGTGTTCTTTGAAAGGTGGAAGGACACTTCCTCAGTGGTAACAGGAGAGAAGAAGGATGCAATGGGTAAGAGGTGGGCAGGTTTGCAGATTTCTCTAGCATTTTCTCCTTTGTTTCTTATTTTTTTTTTCTTTACAATTTTGATTTTCTTTCAGGGTGAGAAAGCAGCATTTTCTCCTTTGTACTCTACTTCCTCACTGTGGTCCCTCCTAGAAATCTTATTAAGGAGTAGTCTTTTTTTTTTTGAGAGAAAGAGTCTTGCTCTGTTGCCCTGGCTGGAGTGCAGTGGCGTCATCGTAGCTCACTGCAACCTCAAACTCGTGGCCTAAAGCGATCCTCCTGCCTCAGCCTCCTGACTAGCTGGAACTACAGGCACGCGCCATGAGGCCTGGCTAATTTTTCTATTTTTAGTAGAGATGGTGTCTCGCTCTTGCTCAGGCTGGTCTCGAACTCCTGATCTCAAGGCATCCTCCTGCCTTGGCCTCCCAGAGTGCCAGGATTGCAAACTTCAACCACCGCGCCTGGCCTAGGGGTAGTCTTTACTGCTCATACAACCCCCGCTCCCAAAGCCACCTGAACTTCTTCTTTTTTTTTTTTGAGACAGAGTCTCACTGTGTTGCCCCGGCTAGAGTGCCGTGGCATCATCCTAGCTCACAGCAACCTCAAACTCCTGGGCTCAAGCGATCCTCCTGCCTCAGCCTCCCGAGTAGCTGGGACTAC